ATAATGCAGTTTGACACCCCTTTAACTGCTATGCCTCCATCCTACAGAATCCTGGGATTCATAGTTTTATGAGACACCAGCACTCTTTGGCAGAGATGGCGAAAGACCTTGTGAATCCCATTGTGGGAGAAAGGCAGGATACAAATCCTTGAAACAAATAAAATCGTGAAATCCCAGGTGTCAGAGAGCATTATTTCTACAGTGTAGAATGTGTAGATGCACACCACACCACACTGGCTCAGTTACTTGGGAAGCAGTCCCCTTCAGTTCTGAGGGACTTGCTTCTGTGTTAAATGTATAGTTGGCCCTTCACATTTATGGCTTTAACTTTTGGAGTCTGGCATGTTCTCTCTAGGAATCTCTATTGCCCTGCAGCACAACTCTTGCCAGAAATTGACCATAAAGTTGTGCTGGAGAACGTAGAAGTTCCTAGACAAAACAATCCTCTAGGCATTTGTAGGTGATCCAGCATTGTTGCATGGTCAACCTCTGAGAAATGTTGACCATAGAGTTGCACTGGAGGACCTGGAAATTCCTAGAGAGATGTTCTCTCAGATGAAAAGAACAGTGTTTTTTTATTTGCAGGTTTTCAACATTCACAGGAGTCTTTCACCCCCTAACCCCAATGAATGGAGGGACCACTGTACTGTTTAGGGCTGCCCTTGTAAATCTGTTTGTGGTTGTTAACTGCCCTCCATTCAACCTTGACCTAGCAATTTTAATTTTACATAGATCTGAAGTTGTAAAGATAAGTTTTGAGCATTCTCTGTATAGGGAGCTAGAGATTAACCTTTAGGTTTAGGCCAAAGTCCTGGGATCTCTCAATGGCTGCTCAGAGATTGGAAGATGATGATGACAACATTAAATAGGCCCCGTGTACACATTGTTTGGGAATCCTCAGTATTATCCTCAATACCCTCTGGTTTTAAACATCTACACTGGGGAAGGTCAACCAGAGTTTTGAGTTCAGGTTCTGGTTCTCTCTTAAAACTGATGGCATGGAGCATCAGGAGAAATCCTGAATTGTATAGAAGCAGTGAAGGATTGGATGTGGGTGAATAAATCAAATTTCTCGGACTAGACAAGATAGATGTTGTGTTGATCAGCAGGAAAGCTAACCTGAAGTTGAGTTCTGGGCAGGGCTGCACTCCTTCTGAACCAGAAGTGTTGGATATTGAATTTTTTTGGATTTGGAATATGTGTATTTTCATATATGTACATAATGAGATCTCTTGGAGATGGGACAGAGGTCTAAACACAAAATTCATATATGTTTCATATAGACTTTGTGCACATAGCCTGAAAGTACTTTTATACAATATATATTTTTTATAAGTTTGTGCATGAAACAAAGTTTGTGTACATTGAATCATTGTCAGGAAAGCTGTCACTGTCTCAGCCACTCATGAAAAGTGTATCAGTTTTTGAAGTATTTTGGAGTATAAGGTTTGTAGCTTCATCTTGAATTCAGTGCTGTTTCTAGCAGGCCAGGTAGCTGCTGTGGTCAGGAGTGCCTTTGCATAGTTTTGATTGGTGCATCAGCTGCACCCTCTTATATGGAGGACAGAGCTAGTCATATTCAAAATTCTGCAGCAAAGACTCTTAGCATATATGGAGTCAAAAATTCCAGGGGGGCAAGCTGGGCTCAGGAAAGGGAGAGGCACTAGGAATCACATTGCAAACATAACACCAACATCATTTATTTCTTACTTGCATCTCCCCATGGATCAAGGCAGGGAACAGCAATTAACAGACAAACATCAGTTAAAACAAATTAATTTAAAAGGGCAAATAACATGTACACATAATAAAAAAATTCCACATTTAAAATTCATCATTTAAAATTCAAGTTTTAAAAATCATCTAGATAACATACATGGATAATGGAATGCACCAGGGAATACCAGAAGAAAATCAACGTGTGCCTTATAAACTCCAGCAAAGCATTTGATTGCATAGATCACAAAAAACTATGGATTGCTCTTAAAGAAATTGGTATACCATTACATTTGACCTGGTTAGACAAGGCCTCTATCACAGTTTGTTCAACTTGTATGTGGAAAATATATGCACAACAGGTTTAGACTCAGAGGAAAGATAAATGAAGACTGGAGGAAGGAATATCAACAATATACAGACAACACCATACTATTAATAGAAAACAAAGACTTGGAACAATTACTAAGGAAAAACAATGAAGAAAGTGCTAAGGCAGAGATTAATGCCAAACATTAAGAAAACAAAAATAATGACCACAGAGGACTTACATAAATTCAACCTAGAAGAAAAGGAAATTGAAATAAAGATTTCCCATAACTTGCATCAATCATTGATCATAACGGAGACTGAAGTCAAGAAATCAGAAGACTATAAGATTGTGAATAGCAACTACGAAAGAACTAGACAAGATCCTAAAGTGCAGAGATATACAACTGAACACTAAAGTTAGGATTGTCCAAGCAATTGTATTTCCTATTACCATATATTGATGTCAGAGGTAGACAGAGAAGAAACTGATGGAAAGAAAATCAACTCATTTGACATGTGGTGCTGGAGAAGAGTTCTGTGAATATCATGGGTGGCCAAA